TTATTATATGGCTGTGTCTCACAAGGACTGGGAACTACCGAATTCACGAATTTGATTGGCTGAAATCAATATTGAAAGCGGTCTAGATTTTCCCATCTAGACCGGCATCTAGACCGGTCTAGAAAAAAAAGGTACAAAGAATATAAAAAATTGGCATATAAGACACAGCCATATAATAAACATCTTATTAACCGAGCTAGGTCGGTCTGTATGGGAGAATCTTGACCTCGGTCGCTGGTACAGACCTCACTGCGTTCGGTCTGTACTGGCGACTTCGGTCAAGATTCTCCCATACAGACCGACCTAGCTCGGTTAATAAGATGTTTATTATATGGCTGTTTCTAGAGAGCAACGGAATATTATATTCTTTTTAACTTTTTTTTCTAGACCGGTCTAGATGCCGGTCTAGATGGGAAAATCTAGACCGCTTTCAATATTGATTTCAGTTCCCGGTCCTTGTGAGACACAGCCATATAATAACAGAGTATAAAAGGGGGACCATAGAAACTGGACCAATGAGGTGGAGAAGGGAGTCAGGTAAAATTTTATCACAAACTGTTTTCATTTGAAAGATCAGACTACACAATCAACTGTTTCTCCCGGTTTCCTACTATTTACTGTAAGACAAAGCTCCTACAGGTCATGGAAAACTTGTCAAGCCGAGGTTTCGCTAGTCTCCTGCGCAGCCTTCTTTCGAGGAGCGTTGCGTGACATCCCTAAAGACGGCTGCGAAGGAGACTAAGGTTTCGCAATTTTCGCCTGAAATATAATGATTCAATTGTAATTTTGTCGTAAACCGTCTAAGTCGATCGCGATCCAACTTCTTTGATGAAGTCTTAATTCGACGAGGAAGTTCAGAGTCACCTCACATAATGTAATTCATGATGTAATCAATACTTTTAAGAACCAATGAGAACTGATTGTGAAAAAACCAAACTTTAAGCAGCGCGCGGGAGAAAAGCGCGGGAAAAAAGCGCGGAAAAAAAGCGCTGGAAAACGCGGGCGACAAAGTCGCGATTAGATTCCGTTTTGCATCTGGTTGGTTGAGAGAGACGCGTGAGTTTTCTAGACCAATCACAAGGCGAAGTAAAGAAAAACAAATGCAATCCCGGTTTCAATCGTCAATTGAAAATTGCTATTATGTGTTCAAAACCAGTTGTTGTTGTTGTTGTTTTTTAGATCTAGCCAATCCGAAAACAAACAAAAAAACAGCAGGCTTCACCAAAGAAGAACGCCAAGATTTCACTGAGCTGCTCGAGGAAGGTTTCGTCGATTCATTTCGTCATTTTTATCCCAACAAAACCAAGCAGTACTCGTTTTGGTCTTACATGAGAAACTCTCGCGCAAAAAATGTTGGCTGGTATGTTGAAAATTATACAAAGGTTAAGTAAATTAGGTGAGCGTATCGAGATCAGTGTTCTTTCGGTCATTTTGTGTTAGGTGTTTTTTAGTGGTAGTGTAACGATAAATGTCCGCCTTGTTTTTATGTTTAGCTTTAAATCTGTCTCAAGCTTAAAATCTTTTTAACCGCGAAACTTTAACTTTTTTTTGTTTAAATTAGCGCCATAACCTCAGATAAAAGAAAAACAAACAAAAAAAAAATTTGGCCGATTTGAAAAACTTTAAATTAAAGAAAGATTTCAACCAGACACTCGCAATAGAAAGTTTTCCTTAGCCGCAGCATATTACCAAACAAAACTTGTGGACACCTCCATGAAACTTTTAACAATTCCCCCTTAACAAAGCATTAAAGCTTAGAATACTTTAATTTGAAACATTACTATTTAATTCGACAATGAGTTCACCAAGGAACGTTAAAAAGTCACATCCTTGAGCAAAAGTGCAGTATGTATGTGTAATCAAATGGCGACGAGTGAAATTAGGAAATAATTTCACAAAGGCTCGGGAAATTATCAGAATTTTGACAATAATTGACCAATCAATGAGCCAGAACAAATTTGTGAAATCTTTAATTTGATTGGCGCGGTGAGATCAGTAAATTAACCGTCTCCAACCAGAGGCTTTCGCTTACTTCTCACCGCTTCGCGGCTCGTCAAATTTTCTCGCCGCTTCGCGGCTCGTAAAACCACAGAGACGAAAGAGTAAGTAAAGCCTCTGGGACCAGGGTAAAAAAGGACTGGTTTGGGTGCCAGAACCTGCTTTCCCATCCTATAAATTTTGATTTTAAAACATGGCTTTAGGCCCGCCAAGTTACCGGGACTTTCGAGAAACGGGCCCCTGCAGGTTCGTAATCGGTTCCGTCTTGTTTACATAGAGAGGCGTAAAATCGCTCGAGTACTTTATCCAACTGCTCGGGAAGAATCATCTCCAGGTTTTTCTCAAGGCTATTTTCGTCACACCACTTCTCAAAAACTCGCACCCGGTTAATTGTGCTCTTTGGCGTATTTAAATTTTCGGCCGCTTCTTTTCATTTCGTAACTTCTTCAAGGGTCACCGTCTTAAATCTCGACGCCATCTTGGCTCTGATCGAGATACAAGAGATGTTACCATGGCAATTTTTGTAATTTCACATGTGAAATTAAAAATTAGCGCTGAAATTTCGCGCCAAAATTAAGGAGTAATTTGTCACCTATGATATTGTTGATATAATTTGTTTTCTCTCATTGTAGGCGCCTTGACTACTTTGTCGTTTCCGAGAGGCTGGTACCTAAATTGAGCGATAGCCTCATCCGCATGCGTGTTACAGGGAGTGACCACTGTCCAGTTGTGTTATTACTGGCTCTTTAGACGCTACAATGTGCATTTTTGTGTAATTTTGCAGGATTTCAAACATTGAAACCAACCATATCTCTGGGATAACTTTGGGAATTAGCTTATTAATGTAATTAAAGTTTTAGTTTGCGAATTTGTTACCGTTTTGCTCACATTTGAGTCATTCAGAATGAAAAATGTTGTTTTTTTATTGTAATTTGGAAGTTATGTCAAACACGTTTGTATCATCAAATAAATTAAGAGTAACTCTATTGAATGAAAGCTCGCTGGAATTCGCCGATAGATGATTCGTTTATGACTTCAAGTCACTTCAACTCAGCGAAAGTTTTGACTTTATAAACCCAGACTGATAAAGTCCACCTGAACTTTCTTACACAGGACTTCTGTGGGAGGCAGGATCAGGAAAAAATTCTCCTCAATCGAGAATCTCTTTCAGTCATAATGCAAATACGCAAACCTATTTCAGTCGAGATTACAGTTTCTTTCTCTGAATGCAGCTTTCTCTTCAGGGGAACTTTGCTAAAAGAGGGGAACCACAATGTCTTACTGCAACACTGCCACTGAATCAAAGATTAAGGGCACGAGAATAAAGGAAATCATCATCAACTAAAAATGCCTCTGATTGTTAGAGACATTCTCCATGTTAGTGCCGTAAGAAATGAGCGAAGAACAGTATAGAGAATATGCAGAGAATAGAATAGAGTGTAGAATAGAATAGGGCGTACGGGGTAAATTCCTCATCTCCGAAACAAAATCGACTGTACGCTCAAGACCAAAGAGAACGAGGGACTGTCCACAGTTTTGTTTATTCCAGCTTTTCCTTAACGTAAAAACGTCATAGGGATTTATTTTGCGTAGGATGTAAGTGTCCTTAGTAATAATGTATTCCTTCTTTGGCAAAAACAACCATTGCTTATAAATAACAAAGCCTTGAAAAATATCACTCTGTTAAATCTAGAAAATATACACCGTGTATCTATTGATAAATTGTATAAATAATACGGAGGTGCGACCCGAATACAGTACAGATAAATATTCGCATTAAATTGAGATTGATTACATCCCTCTTGCCCCTTTTTTTCTTCTCATTTTAGCTCTCTTTTTATGTAAACAAAAGTAGATGACACAAATAGGAAAATATAGCCAATACACAACTCGTTAACCAACATTGAGCGTCATCACTTTACTACAATACAAAGGGCAAAGCCTAAACACGAAGGCGCGCTATATGAGGAAGTCTTCCCTAGGAAGACTTAGGCTCATTTATCACTCTCCGTTGACGTGTGCGGATCAAATTTAAATGCTGGTAGACGAACAAAAGGAGCTAATGAGATATCTATTGTTTACTTCCACCAGCATGGTGGCAATGTCAATGAACTAACGTGCGAACCACCTACTTCGATCTCAAATTTACCGCCTCAAATAAAGTCAGTTTCCATTGGAGAGAGGAAATACAAATCTAAATAATTCTTGTATTGTGACGAAGACATAAAACAATTTTGAGGAATGCGCCCGCTGTTCACTGCTTTGTAGTAGCTGTAGCTCAAGCTGACTTGACTCTAAGAGTTCTACATCACACGGCGGTTGATTGACAAATGGTCCAGTGGGACCTAAGGCTCCATTTATAGCGCGCCTTCGTGTTTAACTGTAAAAAGCAAAGCGTTAGCTTCAAAGCCCAACTGAAAATTGCAATTCAGACTTATTTTGAACTCCATACTTCCTAGCAGTTAAAGGGGAAGTGTGTTCCAAAACCCATGACATTTCTATCTCCACTATGATCAATTATAGATAAATTATATACTTCTGACCAAGTTGCGAGACCCCAAGAGTACCAAAATCGTTCGAAAGTTGTCTTCAAGCTGTGCCAAAACTGAACATGACATTTTGTGAACAAATCAGTAACCAAGCCGCATAGGAATGACGTGGTAGAAATGTTCCTCTAACAGCTTCTGATCTGGTCACCGAGTTAATGTCTTTTTATGTAGCTTATGATTGTCAAAAGCGCCAAGAGCTGGAAAAGAGACGAGTGAAACTTTGTCCTGTCTCAGCTAAAACGACTAGGTTACTAAGCAAACTCAATGGCAGCTTCCATAGAATCCATAACGCATTAGAAAGCACCTTTTGAAAAGTCAAGTTTCTCGATGGGAATCTCAAAACGCAGTCCTCAATGTAACTTTAGGTATGCCATTTAAAGCGAAGATAAAATTTACATGATTTCTGTATTTCCCCTTTAAGTACAGTGGGTTCTGTTTTGTGGTTTCCCTTCCTTCCCTCGGATGATTTTAAAAATGGAACTATTTGTCGCGTCGACAAAATTTCGAAAGTCGATGCATTATAAATATTTTATAATTAATGTATAATGTGAATTGAACATTATAATACAAAAATGGGAATATATTAATTGAGCTATTTTGCGAATTGAGAAAGGCGATGGAATGTATGGATTTACTAACGAGGGTATTTCATCGAAGGCGAACGAAAGCCAAAGAACGCACTTGGATGAAGAAGCTTTGGATCATTTAAGTGTTTGTCTGGTCACCAAAATCATTATTTACGAAAAAGTTCCCGGATAAAGAATAAAATTACCCAATCCCTGTCCTCTAGCCTCTCTACATATTTCAAGGTATCTACTTCTCTCAATGATAAATTTTCAACCAATCGAAATAACGTATTCAGAGTAAGAACTCGGTGAGATAATAAAATCAGGAACATGAGATGAGTTATAGACCCATGAATTCAAGGTTCTTTGACTTGTAATCAAAATAAATTTCACTGCTTTTCCCTTAACTTAAATCTTATTTTATCGTAACTCTTGGCCTGTGGCAACCACGGTAACCTAAAAGGCACGGGTTTCCTTAATTCACTTAAACAAGTGCACAGAATATTGGCCACCTTGGAGGAAAGGCGTTGAAATTTTTGTAACATACACACACTCAAAAAGAAAAAGTTTCCTAAAGAAGCGCTTTCCCAGCAGTCATTGCGTACTTCTAGTCGTCATCCTCGCCCTCCTCCTTCTCCTCCACAGATATGGCGTGGTGTTTCATGAGTGCTTTCATCATGGCCTCTAGTTGTGTGGTGTGATCAAGAACAGTTTTCAGTTTCGATTTGAGGGTCATGACTTCCTCTTTTAACGCTTCCTGATGATTCTGGAGCTTCTCTATCGGTGTCTAATAGAAAAAAAAGTTATCAATTATCAACAATGATAATACCAAACAACAAACATATGAAATACATATATGAACTACGGTTATGAAACGTATATGTGCACGATCCTTCGCAGTAAAGCACTATTTAAGCAATAGTGAAAATCAGACCTGAAAAAAATTCAGGCCTGTACGGGATTCGAACCACTGACCTCTGCGATACTAGTGCAGCGCTCTACCAATTGAGCTAACAAGCCAACTGGGAGCAGGCCATCAAATTAATTCGACATAAACCCGTAGATGATAAATCAAACAACAAACATATGAAATACATATATGAACTGCGGTTATGAAACGTATATGTGCACGATCCTTCGCAGTAAAGCACTATTTAAGCAATAGTGAAAATCAGACCTGAAAAAAATTTATGTCGAATTAATTTGATGGCCTGCTCCCAGTTGGCTTGTTAGCTCAATTGGTAGAGCGCTGCACTAGTATCGCAGAGGTCAGTGGTTCGAATCCCGTACAGGCCTGAATTTTTTTCAGGTCTGATTTTCACTATTGCTTAAATAGTGCTTTACTGCGAAGGATCGTGCACATATACGACTGATAATACCAACACCAATAATTCGTCAGAGTTTAGAAATTTTCAATTTCTAACTTGAACCTTTCCACCTTAACACCACCAGAGAATTATAAGACAACTATGGTTGATGTTCAATAAAGTACCAACCTTCTCAGGGTTCATAGCTTCATAAATTGCTCTGGCAGGACTAACGTTTTGATTCCAAAAAGACCAAATAGTCCAATACTTGTTCGAATTTGGATAAACATCTTCCTGAGTAGTGGCAAACCTCTGCCTGAAAATGGCCGGAAGAGCTTTCTCCACATCTAAAGCAAGATCGACCTAAATAAAGATCCACACGAAGAAAATCAAGAAGGATATCAGTTCTTAGTCTCCGTAACGGTGTCTAAACTGAGTTGAGATTAATTAAACAGAAGCAAATCCTTGATGTGGTTACTCGTTATTTGTTTCCCGGGTAAACTTGGAATTGGGAAACTTGGTTCTTGTGGAGGGTGGAAAACCTGAACGTTCAAATATCGAGTTCGAAACACTTTTTCAAAGGTCGAGAACCGACCACAACGCCCAAATACGACGCCATCAATCCGTTTCACGAAGGTCCCGTTAACTTCGTGGTCTCGCAGTACTTCAAATCTAATTCCAAGGAATACTGGTGCGGGCCTTAGCTAAAAAGCTCATTCATTCTAATTCGTTTCTTAACATTTCCTAACCATGAGTGTTCACGTAGTTCCATTGAAAATTATTACGGTGAAATAAAGCGCGGTAAAATTTACTCGAACAGCCGGTGAAAATAATAATATAGGAACAACGTTTGCATAAAAAAAATACCTGCATTGCTAGTCTCTTCACAACTGCTTTTTCTTGAACTCCTTTTATGTCATCTACGGCTAAACCGACCTGAAGAAAAGAAAGAAAACAATCCAACAAAATACTCTTAGGTACTCCTGAATAGGCTCTTTACTTCAAATCTATTTGAAAGCATGATAAAAATAATAAACAATAATGATAGTAATAAAGCATAGGGATAAAAACATAAGTTGAATAGCAGTTATACTGATGCTCAAAAATATATGTGGGTAATAAGGTCAGTTAATATTTTTTTTTATCTACATAAAAAATCTATATTAGTGCGGGCCTTCACCAAAATACCAATTCATTCTAATTCGTTCCAAAATATTTCCTCATCCCCGCTCCTTAAATTCAGAGTTAAGAAATTGTGAAGGTTTCTGGCTGGAGGACTCAGAGAATTGTAAGTTCTAATATGAACTATAAAAGCGAACATGAAGTTTATCACTATGTGTAGTCCTGTAGTTTTGAACATGAGAAAGATTTCTAAATTTACTAGGGTCCCACTAGGGTTAACCGATAAATGTAAAACTGCCAAAAATTTAGCCTTTAGGCGTCAAAATTGACAAATTTTAAACGACAGTTGTAAAAAAAGTTTACCGTACAAAAAAAAAATTCTGGTGACAACAAAGGAATGATATTAACCGTTCGCCGTAAAATGGCCAAAATTTAAACCGTAAGCCGTAAAAGCCATCATTCCATTGTAACCTTCATGTATGCCTCACAGTCACACTCACAATCAAATAGTGTCAAAATTGTTCAGAACGACGAGTCGCATGTGCAGCAAAGGCAACATCAATCATGAAATAACTCACCAGTAAATTCATGATAATAAGACAGTTAATGACGACAAATGCTACATAAAGCGCCCACGTGACCGGCGGAACGTCGTTATCGTTATAAACTGTATCATACTCATATTCGCCTAACATCCCCATTGTTGTCTTAAGCATGGCTCGACCAGGTGTAGAGTACGGTACCTGGAGGCAAAGGAAATGATTACGTAACTTAATCACCATCATGTGACTTCCAAGGGATTTGTTACGTCAAAGCGTAAGCCTCGTGCAGGAGGCACAAGCGACTAATGACGAGCGCGCAGCACCATGGGACATGGGGAGAGGAAGAGGAGTGCCTGACTGAATGTGCGAGTTAGTAGAGAGATTAACGTAATCTGCAAGGATGACCACGTGGCCTTGTTTTTGCCGCCATTTTTTCACGTTTGCCGGTTGCGCTTTGCCGTTTCTACGAGAAAATGACCTGTTTCGCGTTTGCCGTGTAAGTAAGACTTTTTTCTCTTTTTCTCTCAAAGAGAAGAAGTTAATTGCCGGAAAGAGGGCACCAAAACTATTCCTCGTAAGTCAAGGAAGGGTGCTTTCGAATACACCACGACGCGAGCTGACGCGAAGCTAAACCAGCAAGGTTCACGCTATTTCACATGAAACGTGAAAGGGAAAGCTGAGGTTTGCCGTTTTACGTAAACGCGGCGATGATTCTCTCTAGTGAGTGAGTGATTAACGTCACAAAACATACCTGATTGAAGAGAAGGATGTGGAATCCTAACCCAAAGGCCACGATAAACAAAAAGCAGACGACGAAGAACTGAGCGAAAGTCTTAAAAATATCAGTAAACATAACCACGTATATTCCAAGTTTAGGAAACTTGCGCATAAAAAGAACAAGTCCAATCCAGGACAGGGAAACGGCCGTGGCACCAAAACTGCTATGCCAAACGAAACACCTGAAAAAATGAAGCAGAGTAAGAAAAGATGATAAGCTTAGAACCCTCTAGAGACAATCTTTTGCTTATGAGTCAAGTTTCTCATCCCCACTCCCCCCCTTCGCCTCCTCCAGAAGCCTAACCCGGTTTTCGTAAAAAATATTACCCCCTTAATGGGATTTTAGTTCACCCCAGTCCCCACCTCCCCCCTAGGCAGTGTAAGTTAAAGAAACGGGAGACAACTAGGTTTGTCACTTACAGTGCGGACCTCAAACTCGGATAGAAAAATATTACCTGTTGCTACGCAATGAGCTAACACTTCACATTAATCACGTCCAGGAGTAAGAATAACTGATAAAACAAATCAGGCACAAAACAAAAAAACAAAAACAAAAAAAAAAAAAGAAAGAAAAAGAAAAATGAAGAGGACAATCGACGGAGACAAGTAAACTTATCCTTGTACTTCTCGTGTGGTCACGTTGACCAACTTACCGCGATCCCTCTAGAATTGTAAAGCTTGTTCCATCCAGTCGAAAGTCATCCACGATATAAATCATCGAGAAGACGTATGCAAACACTTCTATTAGTCTGTTCCATTGTATGTACAGTTTCCACATGTAACAGAACCGAATGATCTACGGCACAAAAAGAGGAGAGAGAAGGAGGAGGTGAATATCAGATATGATTCTTCACCTAACTTTACCAAACGCTTTTATGTCAGGCTTATTGTCTGAGCAAAGACGAAGTGGACTCTCGAAGTGCTTATCTCTACTAGGGAGAATGAGTGGGCACCGACAAATTGTCAGGGAAGCTTGATGGAATGCCGGAGGGGGAGGGGGGAGGGGGGAAAGGGTTACCTCGTGATGGACCACCATCCCACCCATATGGGGGGTAGTAATACTCCTAGGCGTATCATGCCATAGAAATCGATTGGTTCGCGCATGGACAGTTACCAAAGGGTTGTATCACTCGAGGAGTTGTGCTACAAGTTTGACTATGCTTTCTTTTAATTTTGACGGGCGTTAATTGCGCGAACATAACGCTTTGGACAGACATGGGATATTTTGAATTCGTAAGCCGAGTTTCTGCTCTCTTCATTTCACACTTAATACAAAATTACGCCTTCGTCTTGTGAAAATTGAGTTAACTTTAAACTGCTTTTTGTTCACGTTCTTTTTTTGCAATTTTTCGCTAACGTTTAATGCTAGATGAAACTTTGCTATAAATTATATGACCAGGCTTACTAACCTCTAGTAACAAACTTATAGAAGTCGTAACGAGAATCATCGGACGACCAAGCTTTCTCCACATAATTTCACTTCCTGTGCTTGGCGTCTTTGCTGAGAATGTCACGTTGCACGTGCACTGAGTGTCGTTGCAAAGCGTGATCGGTAGACTCTTGGTTGTAAGCATAGCATAACCAGTCAGGAAAAACAGGAAAATCCCGTACAGAATGAGACGGCCGTAATACACATAGCGACCGAAGCTGCGCCACTTGTAACGCAATAGGTATGTGACTAAAGGGTGACTGAGAAGTTTGACCCGCTCTTTGGTGACCTGCGAATGAATGTGTTACGTTACGTCGCGCACGACACGGTCAAATACTTTTTTTTAGCAGGATTTAGATGGTCGAGTATATTCGTACAGGACGTAAAATTGCGCCTAATACAAGCGCCAATGCGACTACATTTTTTACTTTGGCGACCAAATCCTGAAAATTAGTCGCCAAATTGGCGACTAGAATTTCTAATCACACCTTACCCAGAGATCTAGTGATTGTTGAAGATTTGTAAAGATAAATCTGCAGCAAAGTTCCTCGTTAAGCTCGTTTCCAAAACGCAGCACATGCACGATTTCGAACGTATATCTATCGTCACTAGACGGCATCTTGGAATTAGGTAACCTATAATGTTGTATATGATCCCTTCTAGTGTCCTCTTTGTAGCTCGAGCGAATTTAGCGGGCTCATTTTTGATGTTTGTATGATATATATGATAATCTATCTAGTACAGTGACAGGGTAACAATTTTTTTGTGTGTGCGTGTGTGTGTCATAATGACTACCCACTTTTTGGAATTGGCAACGACTTTAAAATATTTAGGAGCCAAGTGGCTACTGGAAAAAAGTTAATTTTACGCCCTGCCGTACCCAGCAAACAACAGCCTGCTCATTAACCAGGAAAGAGAGAAAAACTGGCAAATCAAGGATCTGATACAATTTCAAAAAAACTAAATAAATCAATGTGAAAGACAAATCTTGTGCTTTCGAGCCCTTAAGAAGTACTGATACACACTAGGAGAACAAAATATCTCTTCCGCACGCATAAAATTTAAATCAATTCTCGTGATAGCTCACCAACAGAAAGAAAACTCTAAACGAAACAGTAAAAAATTCAACAACAAAACACAACTTAAAACAAAAAAGTAAAACGCGAAATTGTCCTATCTTTTTTATCACTACGAATGGTCATTGCTTTCTCCAGTTAAGAAAGCTGCGCCTCGTGTGCTTCTTATATGCCCTTACCATATGTTAGCGTCATCTGCGATCTTTTTACTAAACAGAAACATGGTAACATAGAATCAAACTGTTCTTACCATAAGCATCAGAGGGTGGTTGCTTTTTATTTCCACTTGTTTGCTTACATTCTCTGGCAATGCCGATTTAATCTTGTACATCACTGCGTCTACACCAAATCCCTCGTGGTCAGATGACTCGGGCGTCAAAAATCCCGCCCACTCGAGGCTTACGTCATCAAGAAACTCGTAGTTTAAAGTAATGGCGTACTGTGGATGATCCACAGGGAACCCATTGGGTTTGACGCATCTGTTGAACACTTTCTCTGCAACCTCTGGGAAATATGAAGCATCAACAGTTGGAAACAAGATCGCAGTGAATCTGAATTTGTTGCATCCTTTGAATTTGAGGATACATCTAATGGAACAAACGAGTTACTAGGGGAAACAATGCTTTGTAGGTGCGTAACAAAACTAACATGTTTTAGCCGTTCCCCTGCAAAAACAAAAACGTGAAGGCTTAATCACTCACCAGGCAATTTCTTTATAAGCTTACGCATCGGCGTGTTAATGGTTGTGCCATCTTTGGTCCGATTGCGCATGGCCTGTTTCCAATCTTTGTGCCGGATAATAACAAGTGCCACTTCCCTAGGAGCAACAGAGACGACTTATAAACGGTGTTTTAAATCGCCAGCTAGTAGCTAGCGTATTTTTTAGCGAGCAAGGGTTGAAGCCGCCAAATCAAAACGAGGTACAAGTGTACTAGGGCCAGAGGAGAGTGTGCAAAACTATCAAATTTCTTCTAAACTCCTCTCGACCTACTGCTGTGATCGCTTCAATACTCAGTCGAAATATTTAGCTCTTATTTGCTAGAAAGAACACCTTCTATGAAGGCTCGAGGATTTCATAAAACAAAGGCTTTTGCGTAGCAATACGAGTACAATAATATCAATTTCAATTGAGTGTAGACGACAATAATTCAGGATTCCTTCCTTTTTCTGCATTTAGCTGCGCGATTGGTCTCGCAAAACAGGAGCGATTCCTTCTCAGGCAAAGAGGTCCAAAACAATTTATGGTAATCTCGCTCCGAATTATCACGCATTTGTATCAGACACGGGACGCTGATGCTTACTTGTGATTATTCTCGATAGCCATATCCAGACAGTTCAGCCCAGCGCTGTCTGTTAATGTGATGTTGGCCTTCCTCGACAACAGTAGTTTAACCATCTCCACGTGACCTTCACGTGCCGCGAGGTGAAGAGGGGTGGTCTGTGGAAGACAAGCACACAACCAAACATTACTCATTCCTCGAGACAGGTTTGTGGTCCATCAGCTAGGTACGTGGAAACGCCACAGTGATAGCACTAATGATCAAGCACTACCAACAACAATGAAACATTACAGTCATTTCAGAACTGCAATGTTTGCGGCTACTGCCTGCTACATTATAGGAGGCGAAGCCACTATGTTACGAGGATGAATGAATGAGTGAGTGAGTGAGCGATTGAGAGTGATGGTAAGTAACATTAGATTTCCGATCTTGACCCGATTCTGACGCGATGTTTCTCGGTGTTTCTTATAGTTGTTGTTTTTTTTGGAGTATCTTACTATTCGACATTCTCACTCGATGCATACTTGAGTTCTCTCCTATTGTGATTTCTGGTTGAAGACCACAAGCACATTTTGTTTTCGGTTCTTGTTGCGACACTATAAAAGACAATAAACAACTCAAAACAATTTTAATCTCGCCGATGCCTAATTTTAAATACGGAAAAAAAAACCTTCCTCGCAGAGCTATCAAAATAGGTGTGATCTGCAAATCTAAACAAATACCTTCTAACGTCATTATGCAACCTCTAGTTCTTTTCAACGCTATAAAAATTGTGCTAAATTTGTAGCCACATGTAGTCTTAGACCGAAAATAAAATCAGGTAGAAAACAATCACACGTCAAAACTTCCTTACCTTGGCCTTGTCCGTCGGGTCCACAGGACAGTTCTCATCTAACAGTACAGTCGCTGCGTCTACCCAGCCTTTAGCTGCTGCGCAATCCAGCGGAGTCCAAAGATTGGCGTTCCTGTGTGTGAAATGAGAGAAGGACTCTATCCATTGAGCTAACCGCCTCCCGGTTGGCTCAATGGATAGAGCGCTGGACTGTTGTGCGGGAGGTCGAGGGTTCGAGCCCCGGCCGGACCAACACTCAGGGTCTTAAAATAATTGAGAA